ATGACAATAATAGCATTAAAACTTTAATTTTGTAAACATTCTTCACTAAGCCTTAATTTTGTTAAATTTTTCGTGTTGATTATACTGTTAATTAACCTGGAGATTTTCACCAGTGGCGGATCATGATCAAAATATTGGGGGTTCACAATGACAGAATATAGATCTCAGTAAAAATGTAAGTAAAAACCTTTCGATGTTTTAGAAAGGTATAATAACTAAAACACTAAAAGTTTTTATCTACAGCTGTACTGAGTGAAAATTGTGAACCATCCTATATTCGTCACAAGCCACTACTGGTTTTCATACCACTTATAAAAGAGACCAGGTGGTATATCTGTATAATTCATTTATTTTATGTAAACATTTTCAATAGGTTAATTATACCCAAATGTATAATTAATCTAATGTTTTCACAGTTTTTTAGAAACACTGGGGTATATCCGTATTATTGATTTTTTTTATTTATTTATATGGAGCTTTAATTTTATTAACCTTTTCATCTTGTTGATTATACTGTTAATTAACCTAGAGGTTTTCACCGCTTGTTAGGAATACCGTGCGTATATCCGTATTATTTATTTATGTAATATATGTAACCTACCTATGAAAGAGTAGCCACTTCCAGGGGTAGGAGTTTACGTCACCAATGATTGGCAATATTGATCGTTAGAGGGGTATAGAATGAAGCCGATATCTGATGTCTGTTTTGGTAAATAAAAAGAATATAATAGTTCTCAAGTCTATAGTATGCCTTTTATTTAACAATTATCCAAGTATACAACAATTTATTTCCACGAAGCTTTAATTTTATAAACCTTTTCCTTAAGTTAATTATATTGCTAATTAGCTTGGAGGTTTCCACCGCTTACTAGGAACACCGTGGGTATATCCCAGGTATATCCGTATAATTGATTTATTTTTTTATTTATTTCTACGAAGCTTTAATTTTGTAAACCTTTTTGTTGGGTTAATTATATTGCTAATTAACTTATTTTCACCGCATTATTAAATATCCGTATTTATTGGTTTATATTTATTTTTTTATTATTTGTGCAACTAATTGTAAATGAAAACCCGTAATTACTTGGGCTTTGTATAACTCCACCGTAATTGCCATTTTAAATATATTATTTTTATAATTTTATTGTGTTTCTCTTAAATATGCCCAACACTTTATCTAATTCTTCCAGAACTATACCTTTAGGATAGAAGGTGCAAGTTGATTACACCGTTTATGTTGAGAAAGGTTGGTAGTACCGGTTTTGGTTATTTAGTTACTACACCATTTCCAAGTGACAGCCCAGCCCTTATTCTATTTACCAGTCAAGCGCCCCATGACTTCCATTTCATAGAAACTAGAAGACGTGACTTAATCTTTTGCGATATATTCCGGCAGAAGCACCAACTTTTTAAGGGTGCAATAGTTCTTTATTCGAAAATTTTAGTCTTTTGCTCTTTATTGAATACCATTGTTAAAATTTAAGTTACTCAATAAAAGTTTTGACAAATTTGACAAAAACGTTCAGTTTGAATTTCAATGTAAATCCGTTCAAGTGGCTAAAGTAACAAACCAGTCAGTTTTAACACCAGCAGTCTTGAAAGAATTTAAATAAAAACAAAATCGAAAGACAAACAGCTATCAATCTGTTTCCCTCTAATTTAAATTATTAATACCATTGTCGATTATATTATACCAAACATACATCGTAGTAAATTTAATTTACTGCATACTATGAAATTTATGAATATTCTATTAAACTTTTCACCACATGGATGATGAGTAAGCCTAAATAAATAATTCACCATCATGTGGTTATAACATAATTTTGTATGAAGTTGCACCAGCATTACATTTAAAGCTCAGAATTATAGATACACTGATAGTAACGATATGAGGATAAATAAAATTGGAAGAGAAAAATACATATATTGTCTACCTCGCCCCTAGAAACAAAACTGATTTTTTTTTGGAATTTTAATATTATTCACTTCTAAAATACTCTGAATGGATTGGAATGGAATTTATGTTGTCTAAGACAAAATTTATTTGGTATACAAAAACACTATTGTATGTGTTTAATACTTTTTTCAGGTGCAAATATTATTGTCAACGATTTTTGTCACGGCTAAAGTATTTTTCATTAATAAATATTGGCAAAAGGAATTACAAATCAAAAGCATTCATTAAATTGGCACTTTAAAACAAATAAAAATTATAAAATTACCTACAGTCAACACAATAATAATTCAATTTTAATTTAAAAAAATTTTGTGAGCAACCCTATAGTAAATTCGTACCAAATAAAATTTTACCTTGAATTTTCCAGTATCTAAAATTAACTAAAATCCCAGAGAAATATGGATTTTGCCACGTATCGAAAATATCCATTTTTTTGCATAAAGATACGTTACCACATTTGCTCAAATTCTAAAGAAAATTTTATGAAAACAAAGCTAGAATTAGCTTATAAACACAAAATATAAGACCCTGTATTTTTATATTTATATTATATAGGGTGAAGTGTATTATATCTGTAAAAATAATGTTAAATACTCATGTTCTTGGTCGATTTTAATTTTGTTCAAGTTATAGCGTATTTAAATTTTTTATCTATCTTTCTATACTTGTATTCAAAATTCTTTCCAGTGCGTTGGATTGATTGCAGTGGTCCTATTAGTTGCATCCACGTTATGCAAACGTTACAGAACTAGATAATTATTTATGGGCGCTGGTTAAAAGATAAATTGTAGGTGTAGCAGAGCAACAATTTGCCTTCGTAGGCGAAGCAGAAATCGTTTAGAGGACAATGGTGGTATTTTAGAACATTTAATAAGAGAATGCTGTGAGTAAGACGAAGTCGACTCACTCTACAAACTCGTATGTAATAGTTTTTTTATGTGGGAGAATTTCATGTAGAAGTTATACACCATATTTCGTGACTTTCATCATTCATCACTATCTTACCATTGGATTGTATATACGCATTTTTGATTGCTCTTTTAAAAGTCGAAATTGCAAGCAATAAGAAGAATTTATGAATAAAGATTTATCCAATAGATTAAAAAAAGCAGTTTATGTACAGCTTATGCGATGATACACCGAAATGTTTTACGAATGTACAGCAGAAGATGGCGCTACGCGCATATGTTGATCACCTTGTTTTGAAAGCGCCTTTGTTTGTACTGCCGTCCTAACAAGGTCTTATCAGCAAAATTAGCAGTTTTTTTAATCTCTTTGCATTTGCCTACATTTTGTCTTTCTTGATACCAATACGGATTGTTCTATTTGCGTCGTAAAGGTACTAAAACGTTAAAGAGGTTCAAAAGATAACAAATATATGTCTGCGAAAAATAGTTAAAAATACGATTATTTCGATACAACAAATGTGCAGATAGGACCTTTCTTGCTAGAACGGCAGTGTAGGAGTGCTGTCAAATTTTTAAATAGATTGTGTATAAATATGCGCCGTTACTTTCTGTCTTTTGAATATTTTCCAATGAGAGAAAACCACCCGTTAATATATGTTTCACTAACATTGGAACTGACCGATGTAACTCCTTCATTATACCGTCCAATGTCTGTGAAAGGATTGTCTCTTGGTGTCTTGTCTAAAAATATTTTGAAGCTGTGTGAGACTTCTTTAAGGCGTTGTGGAAATCCCTTCTTAGAATCTGTAACGTGTGGAAGGTGGGTAAACTCACAGCACTTAGGCCTCAATAGGCCTTTGAGCATCCTCCTAAGTAGATAGGCAACTCCTAGCTCGTAAGCAAGTCTAAATATTTAATGTAGTTGACAACGTCGCCCAGAGGTGTTTCTTTTATATCAGCCACTGTTAGCCAATTCTCGTCGAACGCCAATTTTCTAATAAATGAGAGCGTCAGACAATCGTAGAGGATATGCTCGATGGTCTCATCTTCTTGTTCGCACTCCTTGCAGAGTGCGGATTCTGATAGCCCCGTGATATGGAGATGCTTACGTACTTGGCAATATACAGCCAAAATGCCTGTGATCAGGCGCAGATTCTATCTAGTCATAGTGAAGTATTTGTTCGCTGTAGTGTTATCAGGATAACTTAAAAGCTCCCTGGCAAGTCTGCAGCTTCTTGTTTCATCCCATCTTTCATAACTTCTAGTACAAATGAAAAAATACAATATTATATTTTAGGGACGTACCTATCTATTTAACTAAATAATTCGTCTAAATACTAAAAAATTTAATTAATATAGAAAAAACGTAAAATAATTTATAACTTCTTTAATGTTGGTTGCCTTTATTTAAAAGAAAATACAAAAAAATTTATATCAAGTTACCCATTTTAAAATATTGACATTTCAAATCTTGATATATAATTTATTTTGATATTTTTGATAATTACAATTAATAATACTGTTTAAGTAATAGTAGTGATAAGATACACACATATTAAAGGAGTATCGAATAACATTACAGAATACTTATTTTCTCAAATATGAGTCAATTACATTATGGTCAATTTACTTATTGTTTAATAAAAAAATGAAAAAATCCCAACTAGGTAGGTGTGCTACAAATTTCTAATTTAAGGTTAATATATAACAAAAAAGTTAGTGATAAATTATAAATTCGCTTGTGCCATAAAGTTTCATACATCGTGTGGAAATGGTTACTTTTTGCACTTGTTGCACACTATACTATATTGTATTGCAGGAAAATCGTTTTTTATACAACTGCTATGAAAAGTACCGTATTTCTCATAGCTTACTTAATTTCAAAACCATGTATTGCTCATACTGTGAGAAATATATTTTCTCACGGCACTTTGCCTACACCACATATATGGAGAATCAACAAAAATCGACAAAAACTTAGTTGGCTGCTGTTCAGCTTTAAATAGTCACGACTGTCAGATGATTATTGTTTTTTAAATTTTTAAGGTAATTTTTATTCGTACTTTGATAAAAATCGAAATTTTCGGTAACTATTATTTTAATAAGACATATACTTATTTATAATAAATATTATGGATACTGACAGTAGTGACGATTTTGATAATACTCCGCCAGAGATATTGGAAAAAGCTAAAAAAGTAACGGTAAATTTGTTGCCGATAAAAAAAAGTATGAATTGGCATACGCATAATGTATCATTTTTGAAAAGTTTACTTTTGGTATACTTTGAAAAGCTGTCGAAAACTTGTATTCTTTAAATTTGTGTAGTTGTAGAAAAAGTGTGGAAAGTTGAACTTTCCCCATGTATCAGCACTATAGAAAACCATCGTATCGTCTGCGAATTTCACCTCTAGATCTAATATAGTGCCTTGGGACATACCATATTTAACAGGTATAAAATAACGTTCATTATTGTCTATCCTTACAGTTTGCACTCTTTTATTTAAATTAGATTTAAAAAATATCAATGAAAGTTTACTGGCGTCTAACGATATATATTTTTTGTATTATTAGCTAAATCGCGTCTTCTATCAATTTCTTTTTCCTAAAACCATATTAGTTGTTGGATAATAAATTGAATTTGGCTAAGTATTAGTTAAGGCCCGTTTCCAAAACTTTCTCATAGACCTTGGAAAAACTTGGACGATAATTTATTACATTATTTACGTTACCTTCTTTAAAGATCGGTATTACGACAGTTTCCTTTTGACATGATGGCCATTTAACATATTCCATACAGTGATTAAAAATAGCGCCAGAACCTTTCTTTTATCCCCGTAATCCCAGTAAAATTACTACAGGGGATATATTGTGCTCGAAACTAAGTTTTGAGTTCACTGAATTTTTGTGTCTCTGCCTCTCTAAATTCCTATTCCTACATCTAATATAATAGGTATATCTCTAAACTCTGTGAGTCAAGCAAATTGTACACAGATGATTTTGTAAATTACAAGCAACAATAGATCATGACATTTATAGTGGAAAAAAGCATGTAAAGTTTTTTTACTGAGAGTGAAAACAAAACAATATTTTTTTTTTTTAAAACTACTTGCCTTGAACATAACAAGATTCTAAAGCATAAAAAGTAGCACTGAGGTACTGATAATGACCAAAAAGCCCTGATTTCAGTACTTTATCACTGACACCGCTGGCCTGAATACCTAGGTACCTCTTTTGAGATGCTCTGGGATCCTGGCCAGGGATGGGTTTCACCGCGTCGCCCTGACGGGTGTCGCCCTTTTTGAGCCTAACGCAGCATACGGTGGTTGGCGGATTTAGAAAAAGAGATAGAAAATATTGACTCTAACGGCTGATAAAAAATACACAAAAGGAAAGGTGAAAGGCGGTGAAATGATCAGCTGCTAACTAACCAACTGTCATTGAGGTTGAACGTCGTCATACCTATGTAAAGGTACCACCTTGGTTTTATGCTAATGCTGCCATTTGATAAAATTTTGAGCGATCGAACATAGTTTGGTCCTAAGAATATTGAGATGACTGTAGAAATTGCATTGGTAATTTGTCTGCGACAATTATTGCGTTGACTAGGCCCAAATAGTCATAACAGTGTGAAAGTGTAGATAAAATGAGTCGTTTAGTTACTTTTTCAAATTCTAAATTATGTGGAGCTGATACATTAAATAAATCTGATTTTGGGTCCCAGTACAAGCCTAAAATTTTATCTGATGTATTATTATCAAGATGTTAGTCAACTTGATAATCAGCTGATTGAAATGTTTCCTTATTTTCGTTAGTATTGGTTAATATTTTATGAATGGTAAAATTGTGTTTTTCTAATAAAGTATAAGGTTCTGTTTCAAGAAGTTTGAGGTATGGTATTTGAACTGTTAATATGTCGTCAACATATGTTTGATTAAGTGATGAACTTGACGCTAGAGAAAATTGAGAATTTGTTGTGCAATATCTTTTAATACTCAGCAGGCTAGAAATGGTTATGATTTTTGTCCAAACGCGACGCTTGTCAATGCTTTATATTCGATTGGATGGTTTGGTGAATCCCGTCAAAAAACAGTTTGTAAATGGGTTCGATTGGGGTTAATTTGTATAGGTCGGTTTATTTTCTGAATGTCAGCTGGTAAAACGTACTTAAAGAGACGAAAGCGATATAAAATATCAAACAGATTCGGTTGTACTTGTTGTCCTCAAAGAAAAATATCATTTAGAGGTAGTTGAGTAGAAGATTTTGCTGAGAAATCAAATACCACCCTGACTGTTGTGGTATCGCTGTCTTTTAAAATACATAAATGTGGAACAAAATATTTATTATAATTTGAAGAATATGTAATAAAAAAAGGAACTTTTTTTAGCTTGATTTAAATTGACATATTTTAGAAGTCTCGATATTGAGCAAACAACTGATGGTTTTTATGAAATCGATTTTCTTGGTTAATAGAGGCTTAACACTGCCTTAGGGTTAACATTACTTATTATTTATTATCTTTTTAATATCTTTGCTCTGAGAAATTTTTGATACACGCCAACTATATTCCTATAAAATATTAATCAGCATATTTACAAAAAAATCAAAATAAAAACACGATCATATAATGTCACCACAGCCACGTCTTTAAAACATATAATTTGGTTCCTAACGAAATCAAATACATAACCAAATTGTCAAGATACAAAACAGAAACTTAAAAGTGGATACAACCTTCGAGCAATTAAACTACTAGAGAAAGCGTGAAACGAGTTTGTAGGCGATTGTTGTATTCGCAACATCTGTAGGGGAAGTGAGGAAGCGGGCACAAGGGGAAGGTAAACAACCTTCTTGTTCAGTGGCGTATCATTTCTCTGTAAGAACATACATTGTCCAAACTTTCTAATTGTAAAAAAACTAAAACATTTGCTTATTTTACTATTTTTAAGATTTTTTTCAATTAAAGAATAAATCCTCAAAATCAATTTTATTATAAATAAATACAGGAGCGACTAGTTTTGGCCTCACAGGGACATCTTCGGGCCGGTAATACAATAATCCTTAATTATTATAATAGGTTGGTCACTTACGATTAAAATTAAATAGTATAAACCACAAAAATGGATCCATATTGTAGCGTTACAGCATTTGTAGAATTAAAGCTGTGAAAATAAAAGAGCAGTGCAAACGTAACTAAATACTAAAATAGGTATAGAATCTACAAGAGAAGAGGTGAGAATGAGCAATTAGGAATACATTTAAATTGCTCTCGATTACAAATAAGGCTGATTAATTTTTTATTCTCTCACTGTTTCGGCTTTATCTTCGTTATTCATTTTTAAAAGGAAAAAAAAGTAATCATTCATGCAAGCATATAATCAAACAACACGAATTCATTATATTTAATAATATTCTAATAAACGTTTGTTTCAATGAAATAACATATGTGAATATAAAAAAATAGAAATAGAGTAATATCAAAATCAATTTGAAAATACAATAGAGAGAGATAAAATGAAATAAATTAATACAAGTACAAATAGAAAGCTAATAACATACCTTCTAAAACAAACACATTTTAAGTAGATAAATGTTTAAAGAGTTGATTCCTGAACATAACTAATCTGACGTTTTCCCTATTTTTAATATTATGAGGGTTTTTGTAGTTGAAATGAAAATTATAATTTATTTTGGTCCTAATCAAGATTTAAACATAGGTAAACAAAGAGTGTAATACATAATAGAACTTCATAATCTTAAAACGTTATTAAAAATTATTAATGGTACAACTAAAAACAATAATTATATTCTTAAACAAATTTCTCGTTTTTGTTTCGCAAAAGACTTTTTGCCTTCTCGTTTGCCTCTGCCACTTTTCTTTTAGTAGTTTCGAGAAGAGTTTTACTATGGAAACCAGTAGAACCATCAATTGGTTGGTAACATTTTGATATTTTGGGTTTGGTAAGAGCCTTGTTAAACTGTCTTCTTAGATAGCTGTAACCTTTTGGAAAATAAAAATATCACACAATGCACAGTCATATAATATCATTGTGCTAGAAAAATAGTAGGTACTGACACAATTTAAAAAAAGTTATTTCGAGAAAATCAACTATTAATGTCATCATTGTACTTAACTTTTTTATTGCTAAATTATTAATAATGTCATTTCGTGTAGTCGTTGCGATTTGTATAATATATATTGTAAAAACCTATCGTCAATGTTAATGTACCGACTTTTTTTTAATAATTATGTCCTTGTTATAGTAAAAACACATTTAAACACATTTAAACACATTTTTAGTAGTTTTCTGGATTTCTGTTTTAAATTATCGTATAATTGAATTGACTAATTGTGTGTTTAATGAAAGGTATATCCCTGCTTTGTTAAAATAGTCTTTGTAGTGTCCTAAACTTTTTAGATAATTAGAGAAAACAGTAGGAGATCTTAAAATATCCTATTTCACCAACAAAAATGTAGAATAATGAATCTCACATCAAACGGAAAAAGTCATTTTAGGATGTCCTACTAGATATTAACTTAACTATTAAAACTAAATAAAACGTATATTGCAAATGTGCGATATAAATTCCAATAATAAATATTCAATGTTTTTTGGGACGTTTTTTAGTAAATTAAAAAAAACATGAATAATGTGATATTCTTATTTAGTTTGTTACTACATAATATAGTTATCAGGTAGTGATTTAGAAGCAAATTACGTTCAATTTATAGAATAACAAATCACTCATAATATCCAAATATTTATACCTATATCTTTATATTTTGGGCACGACGATTTTGTTTTTGGCTCTGAATAGTTTTCTTAAGAATTTTAAAACCTTCTTTTTAAGATATTCCATACATATCTTTGAGGTTCACTTTGTTTAAACCTAAAATAAATTACAAAATATGAAAATTTAAACAATAGACAAAATTAGACCATTAAATTAGTTAAAAAAAAGTGTCAACAAAAAATGGATTTGCCTTTTTCCTTAAACATTATTTTTGAAAGAAACTTAAGTTTATCTACTTCACTTGCTGTTTTAGTATTTTAGTAGCAGATGAATATGGTGTGGAAGTAGTGACAGGATTGATTATTATACTTCTCTCGTCAAAATTTACTGAAATTGCATTTTTCTTTAATATTTTCCTCCCCTGAGGTTTGTAATTAGCATAAAAAGTTATTCAGGTGGTCACTTGTCGAATCCCTAAATTTTGGAACCATGTATTTCTTTTTATCATATCAAGGAACAGAAACCTAAAAAAATAACCATAAACTTATCATTTACTATAATCATTATCAGACGGATGAAGACGAACTTAGCTGGGGTGTACTTGCTCTTAATTTTACTCTTTCGATAAGAAAATAAAGTTTAATTGGAAATTAAAGGTGATTGCCTAATCACCACCTCTGATAATTAGGTTGTGTCTGTACTTACTTATGATATTATCTTGAAGAAGCATTTTTAACAGGCCTTTTACACATACAGCATGTTTTCACCATATTTTTAGAGATAATAAATCTTATTACATTTACAACCCTTAGAACGCTATAAATAATTATATTTTCCGAAAAATACAAATAAAAAACTGACATGTGTCAGCAAGTGTCAGAACTGGCGCTGTCAAACTTGGCAACTCTGATTAAATAAGCCAATTATAGAAGAGGGATTTACCCCCTCGGGGGAGTAGATGTTGCTAACAAAATTTAGCGCGGGGAAGGGGGGGAAGACTCCCTCTAGTAGTAATTGCTCGGAGGATACAACTAATTACCTTAAGATACCCTAAATGATCTAATAAATTTTAAAATATATAAAATAAAAATTATAACTCAATTATGGTTTCAGTTCTGATAAAGTTATACTGATATCATCTCAATTCACATTCTTTATTTTAATATGTGTTAAATACATAATTGTATTAATCCCGCTCGTATAGCAATCTAATTATTAATACTTCAGTGATTTACTTATGTTTATTCACTATGTATTTTATAATTGTTTTTTTTGTAAATCATAATATTGGTTGTCGTATATAAGGTGGCGCAAAATAAAGTCCCCTATTTGTTTTTTTATATAAAAGAAAAATCAATTAAAAAACAGTCATATTATAAATGAAAAATATTTATTTTAACTCTAAAAATTTGTTTTGTTACACATTAAGAACAATATCCACCAAATGGCCACCCCACAGAAAAACTTGAACAGATGTCAACTACAAACGAAACCATGACAACATTCCATAGGGTACTTGATTTTGCGCCAACTTGTATTTGTCATTTTGTGATATATTTGTCATTTTTTTGTACATTTGTCATTTAATTGTATATTTGTAATTTAGTCATATATTGGTCATTTTAATTATTCTGTCATATTTACCATTTTATTATATTGATTATTATGTAATAATCTTTATTATTATTATTTATTTTATCTACACCCACAGGAATATTAGCTTATCTACGCATAGACTACAAAACGAAAAAGTATGCTATTGCATTTAACTGAACGAATAGGTAGTGAGAACACTACATAAAAATTAAATCCACCAATCAGAGTTCATATTTTGGTAAACCGAATGCTATTATGTTTAAAATATTAAATAAGTGACAATTCTATCAAACTTATTGTCAGTATATTATTATTTCGTCTATAATTATAAATAATTTGTTAATTTAAATAAAACTGTATGAATTCAATTTAATTAAGAGTATTAAAGCTTAAATGTTAATCGTATAGGCAGTGGCGGCTCGTGGGCACTAGCGGCAGTGGGGCACACACTGAAAAGGAATCCCGGGATTCGTTTTTTTCCCCAGCGAAAAATTTCTCTTTTATTTTTTCAAATTCGAAAAAATATTTATATCTCTATTTGATAGTTTGTCAACTAAGCCTGGAATTTCCAACGCATACCTTTTTGAGGTGAGAAAAATAGAATTTGGTCATCCTTGCCAACAATTTACGAAAATGCACACCATTAAATTATTTATAAGACTCAGAATTTTTTATACTCTTAAATATGCAAACAGAGATTTGAAATCCTCGAAAAAGTCAGACAAAATCAAAAGAAAAATTAAAATTTTGTCCCATTTATAAATATTATTGATTTTTTCATCATATTTTTGACTGCTTTATAAAAAAAAGTTATTTTTCTTTGTAGTTTTATTTCTTAACTAACGTTTTTTCGTAATCACAAAAACTAAATTATTATCATGGTCCAACAAACGCGCACCTTAAGCCAAAGCCGGCATCGCCTTTGTGAGGGAGCCAGTAAAGATGCCGCTGCGTACATTCATATTATCTGGTCTAGGTAATCTGTGCCATGGGTACAGCACGTCACGATAAGGACAGCGCCTCGCTTGTGACGTATAATCCATCGCATGTGTTCATCTCTTGCTAAGCGATATTGTCGTTGTCCTTGTTTTTCAAATCATAATGAGAGAGAAAACAACAGAGGCACACATTTACTGTGCCCTGTTCCACTTAATTTTGGAATTCTCGGAACGTCGCTCAACGCCCGGTCGTCCAGTGCCGTGTCAACGCGGTTTGCGCTGAATATTAGATAAAATAATAATAGGCATCGAGGAAAATATAAAATATGTAAGTTATTTTTTTTTTGTTTATTATACTAGGGCACGTGCCCGAGTGCCCTTATGGGCAAACCGCCACTGCGTATAGGTATAAATGGTGGTCGTCAGGTCTGCGTACCTTCTTTTCATGCGGAAGGACCGGATTCAAATCTCGAATGGAGATAAATTTAAGTTTTCTGTTTTTTCTTGTTTATTTTATTTTATTTTATAAATTAGTAAAAGTTATAAATTATTTTTAAATTAGTTATTTTACCTTAATGACCTAAAATAATTCTTACTCTTTGTAGATTTTCGTTAGTGGCTCGTAGAAAAAATATAGTGTACAACTCGAGTGGATTGTCTATATCCACTCTTGTTGCACAAATTACTATTTTAACTAATCACTTGTTTATTCTAGGACAAATTTTTGAACCTAATTGAACCTATCTAAACATTCAGATTGAATCAGTATTTTACAACATAGATTGTAAAATAAATAAAATATTACAAAAAATTCAAAATTTGTTTAAATTGGAAATTATACACTAATTAATTGCGTCTATTATACAACTAATTTTTTAAACCGCGAAATCCACAAATTTCAGAGGTAGTTCATTCATTTTTTGCTTTTTTTTTTCTTATTTGTTTTGATGATCTGAATTGAACCAATTTGTGATGTTAGCAAATAAATTATCCAACAACTAAAGCAATTGCTAAAGAGCAATGGTTTACCCAAAGATCAGAGAAATTATTGATGCATTCATCAGTACACCAAACAGATTTCATCGGTTTGTTATATATATTTTAAATTGATTTAAAAAAAAGACTTTTTCTGCTTCAAAGAACGTATTCAATCATTATCGGTTGAATGGTCGATGTTTTTAAGAAATATGGGTTCTAAACCGAAACAATCGGCTTTCAAGTTACGTTGTATTATTTAACATCTGTAGTGGGAATACTTTATATAAATGCTTAACAACTCAGTATAATTTAATTTTGTTATACTTTGAGATCAAGAGGAATACAAAATGCTTCTTAATAGAAGCATTTCACTTGAGGTTAGTGACCGTTTTATAAAAAAATGTTTGCAAAAAGTGATTAAACGATAAAAGTGTAATTAGTTTTCGTATTAGTTTTTGAATCGGAGAAAGTGTGTGATATATATTCCGGAATTTAGTCATTTTCAAGACTAAAATTTAGTGTGAAATAAAAGTGTACGCTTTGGTTCAGATTATCGGCTTTTAATTCAAATAAACTAAAATTAACTAATAATTAATTATTAATATGCAAATAATGTCCTTTGCTCATCTTATATTTTATTATTGTCTTTTATCAAATTTGACCGGATATTAATATTGTAGTGTTTCTAGCTTTTCTAAAAATCCAAAGAGATTGGTATAACGTTATCATATCTTACGGGTATTTATTACTAAATTTTTATTTCTGAAATATTTGTAATTTTGCTGTATCTACGACCGCTCTGGCAAGTACACAAAAACAAGGACTTAAATATTAACAGAACTGTAAAACCAAAAGCACGGTAAAAAAACGCAAGGTAAACAAAACGCACAATATCAAAACGAACGGAATATATTATACACATATTTACCTGTGTAAGAGGTCGTAGGTAAAGTATAGTACGCAATGTGTGTTTTAAAACAATTACGCAGTCATGCAATTAACTGTTCCATTCGTGCGTAATATGCTTTTTCCAAAACTTATTACGCAATACAGGTACCATTATGGAACCTGTGTCAATGACCTAAGTTATACATTAATTTTAAATTTAAAAAATGTATATCCTAAACCAATAGTCAAAATTAAGTAGAACCTTAGAACCATATCTTTGTACCTGTTTTAATAAAAATAGTAATTTTTCCTCTTTCACTGCCTAATTTTCTTTCTATTTTGCTTGAAGTAGATGTCATGATTCTGCTGCTCGGTAATTAAATTGAATCAAGTACCTAAAACACGTTTCTGAGATGAGAATAGACCATAATGGACCATAAGTCATAAAAATATTGTATAAACTAACACAGGAAATCATGGTGCAATAATGTTACTACCTAGTAATCTGGCTGAAAAGGGTTTTTAAATAGAAACGAAAAAGAATAGGTACAAAAAAGAAAAAAATACACATAACCTACCCCGCCTAAAGAAAAGGTCGAGAAGTTGATGATTGTTTTTCTTATATTATTGTTTTATTTTCATATATTTTTGATTTCTTCGGTAGTAGATTTACATTTTTTAAAATCAAATTATGTTGATACAATGTAATGTAACCACTACATAAGAATTATATGGATGTTAAATTAACTGTTTATAAGCTAACTAATCCTGATTTACTCATTAGTTAATTACTGCTGGAAATTTGAATAAAAAGTCTAAACTTTTTTACAACCGCTCTATAGTTATTTAATGTTCTTGGAAATATTGTTTTAATTTATACGTTTAAGCGATTCTTATATTTTTTTACTCGAAATTTTTTTATAATGTATGCTCTAAGAATTTTGTTTTCTTTTAGATATTTCTATTTCTGTTAGTCAAACAGTTGTGCGCACAAGAAGAGTATGGCTACGACGAATCTGAAGATGTCTCTGAATACAACGAAGAAGGAGACGAACATGGTCATCCAGATTATTCCAAATACTTCTCAGTAGATGGACCTGCTGCAAGTCAAAGCCATCCGTTAGCTAGCTTTGCAGGATCCGAATTTTCAGGATTTTTCTCACCGCAATCTGTTGGTAAGTAAACTTATCTACAAATCATTTTAATAGAAATAATCAACTCGTCATTTTATTTATAATATAATGCGTATTTTATTTTCAGAATACGCTGGACCAAAAAAGAACGAGAATATTTTAACAGTACCTCCGATAAACTTTGTTCCACAAGCGCCACAGGCGGGTTTAAATTTTATTCCTCAAGTGCAACAAACTCAGTCTCTACCATACATTTCACCAATTCAACAGGCTGCAAATACTCATCTAAACGCACCTTTAAAAGATTACTTCGAGGAATCGCAAAAAAAACCAACTCCTTTTGCAACAAAATCAACATAATGATCAATTTGTTAAACCAGGACCTAGTTATATTTCTCATGCACTGCCTGCTCTTAGTAATTTTGGGGAAAGCAAAGCTGCTAGTAGAGACGACGTAGAAAGGATCCCTCCCAGACCAAACAAACCGAAAACAACAAGTGAGGATGAAGCAGAATTTGATGATGATGAGTCTGATAAAGATACTAAGCAAGATGAAAAAAACGTAGACACCGAAGAAAAGAACGATAAATATGGCCTGGAGCTCTTAAAATATTCTAAACCATTCGTAGATTACAACATAGGCAAATCTAGTAGTACTATTTCCCAATATCCGTTGGCTACAGGTCTGTCTGACTCATCTTCTAAATTGACACCTTACCAGAAATATAGCTTTCAACCAATTGTTCAAGCATCTCGTATAATACCAGATGAATATGTCAATACCAAACCAATCAAACCTTTTAATCCAAATTATCTAAAGAAAAATGAACCTGTTAATCTTGAAAGTCAATCAAGCGAAAATGTTCCTAGTCATTTGAAAAACCATGATTGCAGAGAAGTAGAGGGTGGTGGTTCAGAAGGAATGAACTGCCTTGTTTGTACAAATGCTGAGACTAATTCAAAATACACTCAATGTTCTTACACATCCGAAAAAGAACCAGTCGAATACTACACAGGTGGATCTGAGAGATATTCATCACCTGCTAAAGAGGGTCATTTCAGATACAGAAGATATGCTAACAAAAAAGTTGACCCATACTATCTCATCAGAGAAAGATCCAGAAAAACTTTCGATGAGCCAAGTATTCCCGAAGACTACAGTTCAGGTTTTCAATACGAACCAGAATCATATGAACAGAGCCCGTCAGAAGTAAGCTTTTCAGAACAACAATCTGAAGAACTAAAGAAGAATCCCCAAAATTGCAAGAAAGTTGATAAAGATGGTTCGACTTGTACTGTTTGCAGGAATCCTAAAACCGGTGCCAACTACGAGCAATGCTCCTACACTTCATCACCTCAAGAGAAGAAATATGCCTACGTAAAAGAAAAAAAATACGACAGTGATGATGAACCAGAGGAAAGTAAAGTGACAACCGAAGTAAAACCAGCACCCACAGCTGATTTAAAAGTTGAAAATACTGAACAAAAAGCTGAAATTAAATCATCATCCAAAGATTTCGAACCAGTTGAAGATTATGACGGACAGATAGAACAAGATACTAGAAATCCCAAGAAACGTAATAACGATGATCCTATACAATACGATACGTATGAAAAAAATAGAAAAAATAGTGAGCAAAGGTTTTTGAAGGACAAATATGATATTCCTAATTATTTTGCCGAAAGTGTGAAACACGAATCTAGAGATAAAAAAAGTGAAGATGATGATTCCAAAGATTTTGATGAATATCACTTTAAATTATTCCCAGAACTGTCTAAAGAAGAATCAAAACAGGAAGATGCCAATGAGGAATATCAAATCCCAGAATCCACCAAACATAATGTAGAAGAAGTTTTAGCTGAATTTACCAAAAAAGATAGATCTAACTGTAAAAAATCTGAGAAAAATGGTATGACATGTTTTTTGTGTGTAGACCAAAATAAAATTCAGCATGAAGAATGTATGTTTATTCAAGAGTCAAGGCCAAAATCTTCTCATGTTGCTTACCACCAACTGAAGGGAATAAAGAAGTTGGCGGAAGAAGAAGACGAACCAACGGAAGAAACTAAAAATAAACCAGTCTTAACAGAAGCTGCCAAACCACAAGATATTGTTATAGTTCCATCTGAGATTCCTAGTTTATTAGCTGCAGCATCTGAAAGATTTGAAGCAAAAATTCCGTATAAAGAAACAAAAGATAAATACAAAAAAAAGAGAAGTCCAAAAAAATATAAGAAGAAATCGAAACCTGAAGTAGAACCTACATTAAAAACTCCTACGGAATTTGAAGTTGGAGATGAAGAAGGAGCATTCAGTGCCGAAACCAGACCTGTTCAAAGTAAATTACATGGAGTAGTATTGCCAAAATATATGGTAGAAAAGTCTGAATTTGAAAAAGAGTTTGATGCATTTTCAGGTGCACCGTAAAAATTTCAAAGTGTGATATCAAAAATTATTAAAGAAGGTTTGTTGTAAAATATTTTTACAAAAATTTTTTGTTGTTATGTTGTTGAAAATACAGTTACTAAAATTATCGTTTTTGTTTCTAATTTAAGTAATAGTTTTAAAAATTTAATTTCAAAACACTTAATCACGCTGAAATGATTTCCTGCATTAGAGAGTCGGATAAGCAAAAAATTGCGGTTTTAAAAGAAACTAAACGATTGATGCATAAAAATACCACTATTTTTTTATTGAATTCAATAATGGAAATTGCAATTCTGAAATAGTGTAAAAAGTTACGTAATTATTAAATCTTATGCAAATGTAAGTCAGTTGTATGAGAATTAGATTCATAATAAGTACAAGCATACAATTATTAAATTTAATATTAGATACAAGTATAAAATCTTGTTTAATTGTTAATTCTATAATAGTTGACAAATCCCTTTAATTACATACTTGATTTACAAATGCTACGAGCACTCAAGAAAATATTATATATTAAAAAAATATTTAGCTATAGCTATGTCGTCAACACATACCAAAACAACACAAAGGAACATCTTGTTGATGTTTCTTGTTCCTGGAACTTATAATGGAAGTTTTTTGATATTCTTCATTATTCATGGTTGCAGAAACAGAGTTGCTTGTTTCCACATTTACCGGTAAATATCAAAAGAAATTTTAAAATATCGGTAAACATTTTTGTTTTTATGACGAAGTGAGGACACATTCAAACTTGTTGCCGAAACTTTTGTATTGTGTATGTTTTTTTATGAAAGCAATAAGTGAAAGCCGGTGACTAGTGCATAAAAATCTTTTGTTGGATTTATGGATTTATGAAGAATAAAATAGGCGAATGTTTGTCGAATCGAAGAAATGTATTCCTAAATATTGTCCAAAACATAATTTCTTGGTGGAAATAACTAATGCTGCCTCTAAATCATCGTCGCACCACATTCACAAGCACACGCTGTTGCACGCCAGGGAAAAGTACTAGATTTAGCATCAAGTATAGTAAAGTACCAGATTCCTTATGAATGTACTAGATCTAGTACAATTATACTCGACTAGTAACACTGATTGTGTTAGAGCGAACGCGAACTGGACGACCAATATATATTTGCGACAATGATCGTGTACAATATCAAGCAACATTTTCTATTTTAAAAATAAATATCCTTATAGTTATAGTCTTCAAGCGCTACCTACCATTCAAACCAATGTATTTTGTTGGTCGTGAAGATTTACTGGCCGCATGCAAGTTAGGCAGGTTTTCGTTGGTCGTCGCAATCTCTTGGTCGTGGTCGGTAGTGCTTTATGTTTAATTAATATGAATAACCGAGTATACGTACGCTCTAAGGCTCCTCTTCACGTTGGCCAATGCTTACAGCCAGCGTAAAGAGCGTTAAAGAGCTGGCCCAAGTATTGACCAAGCCAAAAACTCAATATGAAATCCAAAAACTAAGCGTCCTTACGTTGACCTGCACCAGGTACCAACATACTTGCCAACGTTTAAAGAAACGTTACAACTTTCTTGGCAGTGAGAGTACATTCGTTAGCATGTAAAGACATTATAAATATTGAAACACACACTGCAATGATGTAGACGGAATGTAAAATTTTGAAACAAGACAATGATAGTGTGACTAAAATGAGTTACCTATTGGCGAGATATTATTTATAGTAATTTTGGTTTCGCTTCTTTCCATAGACACATAAAGAAACTGCTCCTCTTTGTTTCCTTCTTGTGGACATCCTATAATGTCATATTCTAGGAATCACAGACTGGTTAACAACTTTTCGTATATAACAAACAAGATTTTTTTTGAGTGTGCTTTTTTCAACCCCAATCATCTAGTGCATTTTTCTGCTTCCGCGCTCTTTGTTTAACCTGAATATAAATTCTCGAAGAGTGTTAACGTATTACTGTCTCTGTTAATAACAAGGATCCAAAATGGAAGCAGTTAAATATGTTATAATTTTATATAAACTGAATCGATAAAATAAATTCGTAACTATGATTAAATGTAAAACAATTTTACTGTAAGTAAACACGTTTTTGATGTTATTTCTAACTTCAAAACGAAATTAATAAAAAGAAAAAATGCAAACCACCTGGACTTCAGATCGTTTCCAATAGTTTGCAAACTGTTATGCTTGCGCAAATGTTATGGTGTCACAGATTACTACTATTTCTATGCCCCATGACTGATTATGAGATTTGTTGGAACAGTTAAAATAGTGTAAAACTGATTACAAACCTTTAGAAAAGAACGGATGCAAAAATAAACGCAGTTCATTCGGTTATTTATGGTTAATTTTATGAAGCGATGCAGTAAGATTTATGTCGACTGAAAATTTACAGTTGTTTATTTTAAGAATTGTTTCCTCAAAAAAACTTCAATTCAAAGGCGAAATATTTATTTAACAACTCTTTTGATATCCGTAAATATAAAAAATACATAGGACAAAAAATAGGACATAGATTATTGATAACTTGATCGAAGGTTTCCTGTTATTCGAAAAGTATTGAGGAAAACAAAAACATACTTAATATTTACTGATAATATTTTATCATATTATTGGTACTACAAATATTTTAATCAAATCAACATAGCGGCTAATAATAACAGAGTATGATTAACAAGAGGTGGAGAAAGTAGTAGGTATTGAATTACTTTCGGAGTATTACCCAGTGGTGTTTCAAAATACAATTTAATTACTTAAAAGAATGTAAGTATATTAATTTCGAATAAATTGCGATCTATTATCAAAATTTTTTTTCTATACCCATATGGATATTAGCTTATCTTAAATTTTTATATGAGTGACAATTCTATCAAACTAATTGTCAATTTATTTTTTTCGTTATTAAAAATAAATGTACCTACGTAAAAATGAGTTAATCTTGTGTAAAATCGATAAATAATAGAATTTCAATTTTAATTTTGTCTATATTTACAAAATTAATCAAACTAGGTATGAAATTAATTTAACAACTAGTATTAAAACTAAAATTTTAAGTGACTAGTTGAAGGTGAGATCAGGACGATTGGCTTCCATGCAAGAGGCCTAGGTTCAAATCTGGGTTGGAGACAAACTAAATTAATTGAATAAGGATAAGAATTTCAAATAAAAAAAAAAAAACAAGTGGACGATTACAAACAGTTTAAATTTTTTTTATAATAACAGAACCTCATCTTTCTCTTTCAGCGTGTTTTTTTATATTTTTTTTTTACATTATGACTGCACTCGAAGAAAAAACATATGTAGTGCTGTGCTAAATGATGAAAAATAAAAACGTGACCGAATAAGCCAAGGAAATTTTTATTTATATAAAATTAAAATAAATCAAATCTTTTTTATGTTTATTTTATTTTATAAATTAGTAAAAGTAGTTTTGTTCCAATAATTTAAAATAATTTTTTAAAATCTGTATATTTTTCGTTGTTCGTCCGTAGAAAAAGTATGCTCTACAACTCGACATGTTTTCTTGTTTCACTTGCATGGAAGAAGAAGTCGTGGGTGGCTCCAGGCTGTTATTTAGAATAAGGGTTCCCGGGCGCCAGTTTTGATAACGCAGTTTGCTCTGCGACCCTTGAGTGCACCAAGAGTGCAATCAAAGCAGCCCCAGTGGAGTAAGGCGGTTACTTACAAATAGGGTAGTAACTAAAAAGAAAAGGAGATATCCACCTCACTCAACCTAAACGGTGTAATCACCTCGTACCTTTTATCCTAAAAGTGATTCTGGAAGATCTAGATTAAAAAGGGGTATAATTAAAAGAATTACAGGAAGATTATGCAAAATAATATATTTAAAACGGTAACCACGGTGAAGCAATACGAAACCCAAATAATTTTAGACTTTATAAACAATTTCCCAAAAAAAAAAAATTAAAATAAATATAAATCAGTAAGAAGAATGCTCTTAATAAGCAGATAAGAACTCCAAGTTAATTAACAATATAGTGAAAATGTTTATATAAAAATAAGAAATTAAATATAAATCGGTGAAGGCGGAAATTCCTAATAAACGGTGACAAGCTCCAAATTAATTATCAGTTTAATAATTGAATCAAGTAAAAAATGTTTATATCAAAAAAAACAATAAGAAAGTAAAATATATTTGCTAAATTAAAACATCGTGGAAGTAGGTACAAAACAGCAATAAAACTAATCAGCGGTGAGGCCTCCAGGTCAATTAACGGTATAACTACTAACCTGAAGAATATATGTTTACAAAAGAAAAGCCTCGAAGGAATGCATAAATAAAATAAATAATAAAAAATAGAAGAAATAAATCCGCAATTTTAAAATAATTTTTGGAAAACACTTT